AATCATTCGTTTAATTTCAATCAAGTCATTCATGGTTCACTCATTTCATTTCAATCAATTCAATCATGAGTCATTCATTTCAAATGAGAACGAGTGCGGTAAAGTACACACTCGATTCAGTATTTTTAAAATCTCCAATCACTAATAACAATTAAGCACGTATCAAGTTCACATACACTTGACACTCACCAAGTAATTCAAGAAGTAAAGCACAAGCGGTTGTTTAGGAGTCTCCTGTGAGATCCTTTTGAAGGTCCTCTTGAGTGCTTGAGCAATAATAATGAACTATTACACATTATCGCTTAAAACCCCTACTTATCGAGAAAGATTGCACTCATGTACCATCTAAGAAGATATCATGAGAATGAGCCTTAATTACTCGTAAATCGAAACTCAAAAGTGGAGTTTAAAAACACAAGAAAAATCTGATTTTCATCTTTGAAATCAAGTGTAAAATGGTCAAATGATATCAAAGGAAAATGGAGAGTTCTAAAAACTCAATTTCCTTTAAGTTCAGAAATTTCAGATTTGACAAGCAATGTTTGAAAAATCGTATCTCACTCTCTGTATATCCAAAATTGAAGAACTTGGTGCCGTTGGAAACTAGTTCCGAGGTACTAAAAGTTCCTAGAAGAACTTTTCCGTGATTCAACATGGAAGACATTCAAATTTTGGTTCCAAGTTGCTGATTTGGGCTCCCCGGACAAATTCGGGGTTGGTTTTTGATAAATTTGGAAATTCGGAAAATTTCACAGAATACGAACTAGCCTCTCAAATTTGAAACTCAATTAGAGTTACAATCAAAGTTTAAAACACAACAAACGGAACAAGAATCAAAATTTTGAGCGCCAGGATATAGCAGCTCAAAGTTGCTGAAAATTTTCCACTGAGCAAGGATTTTCCAGATTTGAAACATAAACTTTGGGACTTCAGTTGGGCATCGAAATGGACTTGGAATGGTACCAAATTTGGTAGTATTACCCTACCATATAAGGGCTATTCATGTGTCAAATTTCATGCAAAAATACGTACGGAAGGTCAGTTAACAAAGCCACTAAAACTCCAGGAATTTCCAAGGCAAACCTGCCTTGTACTTCCTTTTTTCCTTTTTTTTTCCTAACTTTTGGCCAATGAAATCGACTCAATCTAGTTCATTTATGAAGAAAAGATCTAAGAAACATCCAAAATACATTTGGTAGGTGATTGACACCAAAAGTTTCAAACTAACAAGTCCCAATTCGAAATAAGCCATTGGCTAATCCAAAATTAGGGTTTTCAATCATTGATGTAGTTCTGTAATTCGGCCACAACTCACTCAATTCAACTTGGAATTGGGCGTGGTTGGTGGAGTTGGAAACTGCATTCATAAGGCAACAATTTCTCAGAAGAAATCGTTTTGAAATTCTATCCATAACTAGCTCATATTCGAGAAAAAATTCACAGCACATAACAGGTTTTCTAATACAGCAGTGAAACAGGATGGTTAACTTTGAAAGGCTAGTACGGTTCACTCAAGTTGAATCAGGGAATGGATTTTATACAGTTAGAAAACTGGAAGTGTCTAAACAGCACTTAATTTTGATATCATAGCAAAGAGTTATGGTTGATTAAAGTTCGCTGCCAGAGTGACTCTGAACACGTTTTCCAGCTCTGAAGAAATTTCGAAATCCAAACATTTACCCAACCAAATCAAGTGATTTTTGGTGAAAACTTTTCACACAACCTATACAACATATTTACATCAAAATCAAGAAATTTGACCACCAAAAAATTGGACCAACGGGTGCAGCAAGGACAGGGCAGAACCGGCCCTTCCCCCTTTGGTTTTTCTTTTGAGTTTCTTTCCACTATTTCAACTTACAACTACTAGATTAACACTTAATCAACCTAAATAACATCCAAAATCATCAAACCAGTCCAACATGTCCATTGTGAGATTTCATAGAGCCCACTCAAGTGATTTCCAACAAAATAAAGGTACCCATATGAAGCTACAAGCTTCCAAGTGAAATTTAACTCCCTAGAACTAAGAATTAAAGGTTGGATGATCATTACCTCCTAGATGATGATAACCTAGAAAATTTTGGTCACTAAGCTCCAAGAAAACCATGGAAATGAAGCTCCTCTCCTAGTCCAAGATGATCTCCAAGTTGTTTGCAAGTTGTGGTATGAATTTGAAGTGATTTGGTGCAAGATTGAGTGCGATGATGAAGAAGTTTTGGGTCTTCTTCCTCCTTGGTGTGGCCGGCTGTCTTGAGAGAGAAAAGAGAGAGTAGAGAGTGTTGTTTAGCTTCTTGAGGAAGATTGGTAGGTGTCAGGTTTAAGTGCTCAAAAGTCAACTCTCCAATACTACGCGCACGCACTCGTTTCGTGCCCGTTTCCTCTCGGGTTTGTTTCACTTATGCACTAAATCTCTAATGCACTTCCATTAACACTATTATTATTCACTCTTAATAGTCTAAGAATAAATGTCCAAAGTCCCTCAATTAATCGCACGCGCGAAAACGCGAACTTCCGATTTGTGCGCGATAAAGCGAAATTTCTAAGAAATTCTTATAACGATAGTATAACTAACTAATACTTGGGTACTTAAACATAACATAACCCTTTTAGGGTAAACCAATAAATAAGTGAATAAATCGATAAATAAATAAACAAATAAAAATAAAATTAAGATAAAATACGAGTCCTCACAATGTAACTACAGGATAAAAAGATATCAATCAGCCATGCATTTAGACTAAATATGTCTAGAAAGCCATGACATGGTACAATTACCAGCAATCAAAGGAGGAAATTAATTAATATGCTTTGTATTTTACAATAGATATTGCAAATTAGAAGATAAGAGTGACTAAAAATAATTCAAGATAAGAAATACACTTGATATGAACCAAAAGTTACATGGTAAGAATAAATAGAAACTGAAAATGTTATTTACAACGTCATTTAGTCAGACTCATAGTCATCACTTTCTACAAATTTTTCACTTTCATCTTCACTCGAGCTCAATTGCTGAATCTCATCATTATCAACAAAAAAATCATCCATTTTCCTGGCACGTTTAGCTGAAGAATCAGAATTTAGGATGCCAGTTTCTATAGCTTCATTAGCTAGCATATCGCCTCTTTTCAAGTTAGACAAATCGACGTTCTCTTGTACCCCAATTAGGTCTTCAAGATAATATTCTTAGTAAGCCTCTTCCTCTTCACATGATTTATCTTCATCCTTTTCAAGAACAGCATATGATGAACATGGATAGACCGACTCGACAACATGCCAATGACCTCCAAGCCTCATATCCTTTACGTAAAAGACCTGTTTAGCTTGGGAAGCAAATACAAATGGCTGGTCTATATACCATTTTTTTGACAAATTGATGCTGCTTAGATTACTCTGTTTGTCTATTTTAAGACATGAGCTATTTTTTAAGTCCCACCAATCACACTTGAACAGAACTACTCGGCTTTGAGTGAAGGAGTATTCAACCTCTAAGATATCTGTAATAGCACCATAGAAGTTTATTTCTACATCAGCATGCTCACCCTTCACCATAATGCCACTATTCTGGGTTTTTCTGTCTACCTCACGTGTTTTGGTATGAAATCTAAACCCATTGACATTACAACCAGGATATTTTATCACTCTAAAATCCAGTCCTTTGGCCAAAGACAACAATTCATCACAGCATCTGCCTTGTGCATGCATGTAAGTGACCTATATAACCCAAATAAGAAATTAGAATGACTTAGCAAATTAACAACTATATAAATACCACAAGTTTCCTAGTAGTTTGTTCCATACTTACACGCTCTTTGAATTACTTTGGAAACTCTAAATCTTGCATCTGCTCTATATTCGACACATTTTGCTGCAGAAGCAATTCTTTGTACATCCTATACAATAGTATTATTAGATATCTATGTGCTACGGTTAGTGCTATAATTGACTAAATATATAACACTTCTCATATGTATATGTAATCATTAATTTCTTCACAATCTTTCAAGATGAATAAATGTATTTTCATCAACTCTGATTCACTTAAGCAGCAAAATGTTGCTGCCCCAAAAGGCCGAGCCATTCCAGAAAAAATAGACAACTTTCCAGCAGCCTCAAAGCGCTCCGTGTTTCGTTCTGGTTCATTAAATATTGTAGGAACATTGTGCAAGTACCTAGAAATGAATGTTAGACATTCATCATCCAAGTAACGCTTAACAATGCATCCTTTCGGTCGAGCTCTGTTGGTCACATAACCTTTGTATTGACCCATTTTTCTGTGTCACAAAAATGCAACCATAAGATGTCACAACAGTAGGACCCTATGAAGTAAAAGAAGATTCAGTCTTAAAATAGCCTTTACACTACCTGTCAAATGGGAACATCCACCGGTATTGTGCTGGCCAGCAAGTTTTGCTTCAGCAGGTAAATGGACCATTACATCGAAGAAATTTGGAAGGAAAATTTTTTCAAGTTTGCAGAGTATTACAACAATGTTTTTCTCCTGTGCATCTAACTCATCTACATAAAGAGTCCTGGAACAAATTTTCCTAAACAAATTGCTTAGTTCTACCAAAGTTTGGGAAACATCCTTTGGCAGCATGTCTCTAATTGCTAATGGAAGTAGACGTTGCAAGAATACATGATAATCATAACTCTTCATCCCTGAAATTTGGCACTCTTTTGGCTTAACACAACGAGATATGTTTGAGGCAAATCCATCGGGGAACTTGTGTGAGCTCAAAAACTGGCATAGTTTTTGTTTTTCACTGCGTGAAAGAGTATAGCATGCAGCGGGCATCACCTTTGAATCCCCTTGAGTTTGAAGACGCAATTCTTCCCTCAATCTCATTTCCTTCAAATCCTCTCTAGCTTGCCAAGTGTCCCTATTTTTCTGACCCGTACCCATCACTGTACCCAACAAAATTTCACACACATTCTTCACGATATGCATAATGTCCAAGTTGTGTCTAATTTTGTTAGTACTCCAATATGGCAGCTCAAAAAAAAAAGCTTTTCTTCAACCAATTTGACTGATTTTGCATGCGTTTTCTTTTCTTGTCTTTAAGCAATTCAGGTGCCTTGCCAAACTCCATTTGATCAAACTCTTGAAGTTGTTGCAAGATTTCTTCACCGGATAAAGTTCTAACAGGCTGTCTAAGGTCTCTCTTGCCATCAAATGACTTTCTTTCTTGACGCCATTTATGGTCACCTGGCAAAAATCGCCGGTGCCCTATATAGCAACATTTTAATCCATTTCTCAGATATACACTAGTTGTCTCATCTAAACAAACAGGACAGGCCTTATAACCTTTCGTACTCCACCCTGACAAATAGGCATATGCTGGAAAATCACTTATAGTCCACAATAGAGTAGCCCGTAACATAAATTTTTCTCCCACGACTACATCATAAGTCTCAAAGTCAGTGTCAAAAAACTCTTTCAACTCATCAATTAGAGGCCTAAAAAATATATCCATATCATTTCCTATGCACTTAGGACTTGGAATAATCATTGATAACAGGAAAAAAAGGTCCTTTAAGCATTTCCAAGGTGGTAGATTGTAAGGAACAAGGATTACAGGCCATATACTATATGCATTATTCATGTTTCCATAGGGATTGAAACCATCAGTTGAAAGTCCCAACCTAACACTACGAGGATCTTTGGCAAAAGATGGGTGAGTGTTATCAAACTCCTTCCAAGCTATTGAGTCAGTAGGGTGTGTCATTGTGTTTTCCTTGGGAACGTGTCTCTCTTTATGCCACCTCATATCTTGAGCTATCTCCTTGTTTATGAATAGTCTTTGCAACCTTGATTTTAAGGGGAAATAGCGAAGCACTTTTCTAGGAATTTTAGAACCCGGGGATTTATAACGAGGCGCTTTACATTTTTCATTTGGGCAGTGATCGAGGCTTTCATTTTCTTTCGAATAAAGTGCACAATCATTTTCACATGCATGTATGTTTTCACACTTGAGTCCTAGCTCACGAATTAATTTTTTTGCATCATAGTATGAGCTAGGAATTGATGCCATGGGAAAGACTTGAATGAGGAATTTCAGCAGCATATCGATGGATTTGCAAGTCCACCGATTCATAGTTTTCAAATGAAGGATATGGACAACAAAGGAAAGTTTTGAGTACTTATCACAAGCCGGGTAGAGACTTTTTTCAGCTTTGGATGATAATCTAAGAAACTTACTTGCTTCCCCCTCTTGCTTATTTGGAATATCCCTATTATGTTCCCCCGAATTTCTCCAATTCTCACCAAAGTTTGCAGTACCAACATCATTTAACATTTCTTGAATATCATCTGACTCACTGTTTTCTTCATCTAAAACTATGTTATCATTTTCATCATCATTAGAATCCTCAAACCTTTCACCATGATATACCCACCTAGTATAGCTCTCAACAATTCCCCCACACAAATGACTTTTCATGATCTCCATAGTTTGATCCTCAAAGTTGTTGCACCCTTTACATGGACAAGGGAGCTTATATGTGGGATCCTTGCCTAAATAAGCAAACTCAACGAATTCTTTCACTCCTACCAAATATCTAGGATGCAAATAATCTTTAATTGTTATCCAACTCCTATCCATGATTTTTCACAAGCACCGTTGATCCTAACACAAAAAAATACGCAACCATGGTACTACAAGGACAACACATATAATAAATATAGGAAATTAAGCTCAATACAGGAAATTAATCTTCCCATACAACAATAATGAAAATTAAACAAAATACAACACAGTTATTACTAAATTCAAACATGTCACAATGTAAGCATGTAAAAAAGGGCAAAACAATTGATAGTAATTAGTGCCACTGTCAATGTTACTGATGACCAATGGTTTTGACAATTTTTTTTCACTTGGTACTATAATGAAGTGCATGGTTGCAGACTTGTTCTCAAGATGTGAGTCAACAGTTTGTATCACTCGAACTACCTGAGGATATAGTTTTCTTTACTCAACTAATTTTAGCTCGATTAAATATGAGAAATGGATACTGAATCAGCTAGCCTATGGATACTTTTCAGCATTTTTCAGTAGATGCAAACTGTTCTGTTATTGCTAGTAGCGGCCAATGATTCAACATCTTTTCTTTTGTTCTAATGTATACACATGATGTCACTTTAATCCTGGATAGAGGTACTTAATTTTTATGTATAGTTCATAACTTTTGGGAAAACTAATATCACAATGTTCTAGTTTCACATTCAAATGCTATGCCATCAGCTCCTGGACGATGCAAGATTAAGTATTAATGACGGCTTCGTTGCATCTTATAAATGTTCTGTTTTAGCTCTGCTACAACTCCTAATGCAAGGTCACAGTTCATGGATTCTTGCTGCCACTGTTATGACTTCATTCAGTATAGTACTAATAACAAGAATGATCAGAGTTTTCCAAATTGTTCCATCTCTTTCCACTCAAACAAAGCAAGAATGCTGCTTCATATTCTACAACCGTCAATGCAGTTATCCTTAAGGCAAACACATATTTTCCATAATAAGGTAGATAGGAATTAAAATAAGACTGTGTGCAATGCAAAACACAAACTCGTCCTACAAGCTCAATTAGCCACAACCTATGTAGCCACAATTGTTGAGGAATTCAAGGGATCAGGAAAGGACTAAATCTTGTGTAGCCACAGCCTGAATATGCGGAGGCTGTTGAAAAAGATACTTGCACGACAATTAGGATACTGTGTTTCCTTTTAACCAGGTCAAGGTTAGAGTACTGCTTCAACTCTTATCACTCATTAGGTGTGTGGTGACCTCACTTCCCCCTAAGGCGAACCAGAGGGTTGGCGGGCCGTCTGCCTTGCTCTCGCCAGGACTCACGCAAGAAATCTAGCCTAAATCTGTCTGAAGTATAGCCTAAACTATTACAATAATTAATCCTCCAAAATAGACCAATAACTAAAACCACATTAACTTCAGAGATAACAACACTTTAAGATAGCGACTCGTCGATTCTTAAATACCTTACGCATTACAAACCACGGAATAAAGTCAAACAGTCCCATTTAACAAATTCATACAAGCCACATACATTCTTACAAGCCAAGTAACAAAACCAGGGTTTGCACTTTTCCAGCTTCAAGTGGCAACCCAAAACAAAACTACACTGTTTAATTCGAATTACATTCATAACAAGTAAAGTAGATTTCAGGTCTTTCTCACATGCCAGAACCTATCAAGGAAAACAAAATAACGTGGGGTGAGCTAAAACTCAGTGGTGCCCCAAAACATGCAATCACATAAAACAAATAGCGAGTATTAACTTCAATTAAAGTAAACAATTAGGAAAGCGTTTAACAGCACAAGATAGGATACAGGGGCTCTCAGGAGCCATTTCTCCACGAGCTTGATCAAAATTTTCCGTAGTCGACCCTCCGTTAACTTTCACTACCTAAGGTCCGTGTAGATCTTTATATTTTTCTTAACTCCGACCACCAATCTTACCCCTGTCCCGGGCCCGCACGCCAAGCACGAAAGTGGTAATACTCGAGTATACCTTAGACTGGTCGAGGGATTCACCCAACGACGTTACGTCCAACACTTATAGACTGGTCGAGGGATTCACCCAACGACTTTACGTCCAACACTTAAAGCAAGCGCAAGCAAAATATTCACGAGAAACACTTCAAGCAAGTCGCCACTCGAAAGGCTAGTGTGATAAAGTACACACTACTCACTTCGATGGACCAGCAATCATTTTCCAATTATCGCATATCGAGTCACGAAAGCACTTTAACCAAATAAGCATAGAACAAGCAGGGACACTCACCAAGAATGAAGTTCAGAGGTCAAGTTGAGAATCGAAATCTGCGTCCTCGCTAAACCCTAAAATATCAAATTTTAAAAACTATAAGTTGGCTATACCAGTTCTAGGGTTACGTAGGAAAAGTTGTCTGTGTGTATAACTAGTTTATCCTTTCGAAACTGAATCAACAATTTGCTTAAAAATCAAAACTAGTAAAAGTGTTAAAATATTTCGTAGGGTTTCTTGCCGAACAAGTTTTCCCACGCTTTTTAGTTAAAGTTATTAAAATCTCATTTGTTTTTTTGGACAATTTCCTCTGGAACAACTAACCAGGGACAATTTCAAGGGAAGAGAAGGAATAGAGTAGAACCTAGGGTTTTAAAACTAGTGAAATCATTTTCTAACAATAACAAGGTTAGTTTAAGCTAAAGGAAGAAATATCGGTTTGGCAAAGTTTAAAAGTCCCGACACACGAGTTTCTTAACGTTAGCGTTCAATACCAAATTTTATAGTTCAATACTAGGGTAAAATATATTTAAATAGCTTGACTAAAGATACTCAAGTTCACAGGATCAAAACGGACTTCATGATTCTGATTCACATGCACATTATATCTCAGATTTGCCAATATAGTAAAATCACATTTCAACCAGCAATTTCACTAGGGTTTCGTCAATCATTAGCCCTAGGTTTCAACAGATTCATTTTTGATCAAAAATTAAACAAATGAGCCAAGAGCTTCATCAATCATTAGCTCTTAGCATCAATTAATCCCTGCTCATGACAACTCAATTGAAAATTCAACCAAGTAGCTTCCATTTAAAAAAAAATTCCAGCTCAACCTCTCGTTACTCCTAAAATTTCCAGCAGCTAATTGGTCTTAAATCCAATTTTTCCTCCGCTGAATCAGTGTGTTAAGTACCCAAAACTAACATGCAAGGCTACTCAATGAAGTTACCATCGTTTCTAGTTCAAATCAAGTTCGAACAGCACCTGTAATCATCCACAATTTCCAGAATTTCTTCAGCTATTCTCGAGTGAACTTGCATGCGTCAGATTTTTGTTTCATTTTTTTTTTGTTTAGCCGAACTGATTAGCCTCATGCAAGACTTAATTTTCTTGTTCTTAGTCAGATAATCATGTTTATCAGCTCAGATTACTACCACGAGACAAAATTAGAGCTACATTCCAGATTAAGTTCTCGGCTAGGCTTGCATGCCAGCTCATCCCATTTCATTTTTATTTTTCTGGTTTATACCAACTAATTAACTGCATGCAGAGCTTAATCATCTTGTTATTAACCAGCTAATCACAGTTATAAGCTCAGATTATCAAGAAATAAACAAATTAACTCTGCATTATCCCATTCAATTCTCGGCAAACCCATTCTTTCGCACATCAGATTTTTCTTTTCCTAAATTCATCATCCAAACGCCTAAGCTTCACATGCATGGCCATAGATAGCTTAATCTACCCTTGATCAGTTAGTTTCAGTTCATAAATTACCTCACCGAAAGCTCACTCACGCGACAGAATGCTGATGTTTCTCTCATCTCGGGTCGCTCGCGACTGGATGTGTTGGTCCTGGTTGCGGATGGTTGAAGCTTTGGTGTTTTGGTTGGAACTGGTGAAGATGGTGATGATCAGTAGCTCACTCGACTGCCTCTTGCTCTCTCTCTCTCGCTTGACTTCCTCGGACAGAACAGAAATACAGCTCACGGCTCGCTCTCTCTCTTCACCTTTCTCCTGCTCAAGCCGAGGAGTTCTCCCTCTCTTGCTCTCGTCGATGATCACGAGGTGGAGAATGGAGATGGAGTGGAGTGTTTGTGGTTGAGGCTGATGTAGTGGAGTGATTCGCGGTAGTGGAGGTTGAGTGTGTGTGTAGAGGGAAGGAAATGCACTTCGGCAGAAATGGAAATGTTAGTGCTTCTAAGAGTTGGCCGATGATACTTTGTGGTTGCATGGAAATTTTTGGGATAGTGGAGGGTATTTTAGTCTTTTCACGTTTCCTCCAAATTTCTACTCAAGTCCTCAATTCTAATCTAATTCCAAAGTTTACCCCAAATGTAATTTGAATGCCTACTAATGTACTAATCTTACGAGAGTTCAATTATCAAAATTTTTATGTCCTAAGTATACTTATATCGATTTTGTTATAATGCTAAGTTTCCGATTAACACTTAACCTTATTAGGAATTAAAACGAGCTATCGAAATTTTGAAGAATTTATATTAAGGCAATAAAATTACTCTAACTCAAGAAATATTAATTTAACATAGCGAAACCAAGTGTGTTAATATTTTGGTACAATTATATTATTTATCACATAAAATTATTTCTATGTACTTATTTAAAAATAAGTAGATATAATGCTAGAATTTATTAACGAATTAAAATTGCAATGGACTATGCATTGATATCTATATATTTCTTCGAGGTTCTCACAAGGTGTTCAAGTCAAACATAAAAACTCCAAAAACTAAATGAATAACACAAAACAATGAAACAAAACTAAAATGGGAAGAACGAAGAAAAATGAAAAAGCACTACCAACATGATGTGCGGGCAACCAATCTTCTCTACTTTTCAACATCAGTCACATTGTTTACATACAAGCGAAAGCTCATTAATTACAACATTCGTTAACAAATTTTATAGGTAAAATCAAGTTTCATCTTTTGAGCAAATACAGTAGCAGTAGTAATGCTAAGTTCCATACATTCTACAAATTCTTCAAACTCAATTCTTAATGGGGCCGAAAAAACAAAGATCTTAAAAAGTCCCTCAGGGTCAGAATTTAGGTAATGAAAATACAACATTGCATT